AAAATTTTAAAATGAAAATCCATAGAAATCTACGAAAGATTTTCACTAATTCCATACAAATCTATAAAAGATCTACGAAATCCGTAAAAGTCTTCACTTAAAAAAGGGGTTAATTATATGAATGGTCACTGAACTTTGCCCTATGTTACTACTTAGTCACTAAATTTAAAAATGTAACTCAATGGTCACTGAACTTCGTCAAGTATTACTACTTCATAACTGAACTTTAAAATTATCTCAATGGTCACTGAATTTTGCACCGTGTTATCCATCCGTCACTCAAATAGAAAAATCCGTTAAGTCCAACAAATGGTGTCAACCCGAGTGACGGATGGGTAACACGGTGCAAAGTTCGGTAACCACTAAGATACATTTTAAAGTTCGGTTATAAAGTAGTAACAATTGGGAAAGTTCAGTGACCATTGAGTTATATTTTTAAATTCAGTTACTAAGTAGTAACATAGTTGAAAAATCAAATAGACCTCAGTTACATTGGCACTATTCGAATATTTTTGTACTTTTATTTAATTTTTCTTTGTCAAATTTTTTTAGTGTTCTAACTGTTTCTCTTTCAATCTATTTATGCGGAATTTGAGATACAGTGACCTGATACGAGTTGATCTTAAAATCAAAATCCCCATTTTGAGGGATAAAATGAATTTTTGAATAGTATATTAATGGGAAATTTGTAGTTAAAAATAAAGAAAATTTTTGAATTTGCATGTAATATTATTTTATTAAGAATGTGTGGTTGAATGACGTCAAATCACTGTTTAAGAATGTTATTTTTTTTTTTGGAAAGAATGGGATTCAAACAAGGGCTTAATAATTCAATTTAGAAATATATATTAATGGTCACTGAACTTTGCCCTATGTTACTACTTAGTTACTGAACTTAAAAATGTAACTGAATGGTCACTGAACTTCGCCAAGTGTTACTACTTCATAATCAAACTTTAAAATGTATCTCAATGGTCACCGAACTTTGCAACGTGTTATCCATCCGTCACTCGATTGACGCCGTTTGTTGGACTTAACGAATTTTTCCATTTGAGTATGGATGGGTAATACGGTGCAAAGTTCGGTGACCATTGAGATACATTTTAAAGTTTAGTTATGAATTAGTAACACTTGGCGAAGTTCAGTGACAATTGAGTTACATTTTTAAGTTTAGTGACTAAGTAGTAACATAAGGCAAAATTCAGTGACCATTCATATAATTAACCCCTTAAAAAAGTCCATTAAAGTTTTCAAAAGTCTCAATTGAATACACCTTTAGCGTCTGACGATGGCTTCGAGTACGGAAAACTCATTCAAGCGCCTGATAGACGTTGAGCTTCAGATGAAAAGAGAGAAGGGGCTTTTTTACCGTCGCGATGAAAGGTATACACCAGGCCATAAGTGTAGAAATAAGGAGCTGTAAGTATTGGTAGTGCAAGAAAAGGTTAGTGATGAACAAAACGTAGGTGATGAGTTGGAAGAAGAGGACAAGGAAGGCGACATGGTGGAGCTATCAATCAAGTCTATAGTAGGTCCGACTTTTCGAAAAACCATAAAGCCCATAGGTACATTTTTGGGACAAAAAGTTGTAGTCTTAATTGATTGCGGAGCAACCCACAACTTTATCTCTACTGAGATTGTCCAGTAATTAGCACTGCAGGTCATTGGTTCGGCGAGTTATGGGGTCTTCAAGGAAAATGATTTATCAGTTAAGGGTGGAGGAATTTGTAAGGGGTTGTAGTTTCTTTGCCAAATGTTGTGGTATTTGAAGACTTTCTGCCTATGAAATGGGTGTACGGACATTATTCTCGAAATGAAATGGTTGGAGTCCTTAGGCAAAAGGCAGGTGAACTGGGGACATTGACAATGCGCTTTAAGGTAGGTTAGGAGCCTATTATGCTACAAGGCGACCCTAGTTTAAGTAAAACTCAAGTACCGTTGAAAACAGAAACAACCTTCTAGAACTTCAAATCAGCCATGATCAATGTTTTAGTACTCGCTTTACCCAACCTCTCGCAAGATTTCTTGGTTGAAATTGATGCTTTCGGTCAGAGTCTAGGGGTGATGTTAATGTAAAGAATAATGCTCCTTCTCCATGTTGTACATGGAGTTTGACATTGCTTGCAAGTTAAAAAATGTATGGACGAGAAAGTGTTTTTCATTTTTAAACTGGCCATTCGTTGTGTGACAAGTGGCACAATGTCAAACTTAATGTCAAAAAAAGTGTACATGTAGCAAGATTGTAATGTAAAACATCCATCCTATTGCATATTTTAGTAGGGTTTTGCCATTGACAGACAGGCAGAAATCAGTTTATGAAAGGGAGTTAATGGCCATTGTATTTGCTGTTCAGAAGTGGCGTCATTACCTGGTTGGCCGACATTTTGTGGTCAAATCGGACCAACGAAGCCTGAAGTTCTTACTGGAGCAATGCCTAGTTAGTGAAGA